TAAAAGGAATGAGCATTTGCCACAACTTCTTAGGACCATAAGGACTCTCACTGAAGAGGATGGTTTCCCCCTTCAGAATTTTAGCTATGAGTTATCCACTGCCGCTGTTGCTACTGTTGAGTACTTGAGATTGGGGGTTCATGCACAAGGGGTAGAAAACAATGTAGTATTTCCTTAACTTTTGCTGATTGTTAGCGAACTCCTTTCCCACTCTGAGCTGGAATTTCTCCTGGAGCTATGTCTGCACAGATGCTTAGTTCTCGGTTTTAAGCTGCTTTAAGCCAAGGTAGTGAGGACACCACAGGGGAAAAAAAATGGGATAGTCACTGCTGGATGGTGGCACATTAAATTCCAGTCTTCTTCAATCTTCCCACTACTATTTACTTCTCAGTCCTCAAGTAGCTGCCCATGCATTCAAACAGCTGGTCTATGCAGGTTTTACCATTGCATTCAAAGCGGGGACAGGGTGGAGTGTGCTTACTCCAAGTTACCCAGAACTAGAACTTCTAAGGTAGTTTTCCTTAAAAAAAAAAAAAAAAAAAAAAAAAAAAAAAAAAAATTATTTATTTATTTTAGAGAGGGAGAAACAGAGTGAGCACCCTCGAACAGGGGTAGGTGCTGAGGGAAATTGAGAGAGAATCTCAAGCAGACTCCCTGCTTAGTATGGAGCCCCATTCAAGGCTTGACCTCATGACCTCAGCTGAAACAAGAGCTGGATGCTCAACTGACTGAGCCGCCCAGGCGGTCCCTTCCAAAGTCACTTTTGATCAACTATCACTATGCTTACTTGAGGATGGCTTTTATGTTCTTCAAAATCCTAGGGTTTTGGGATGTGTTCTTAAAAAATCTTGTCCTGGGGCGCCTGGGTGGCTCAGTGGGTTGGGCCGCTGCCTTCGGCTCAGGTCATGATCTCAGAGTCCTGGGATCGAGCCCCGCATCGGGCTCTCTGCTCTCTAGGGGAGCCTGCTTCCTCCTCTCTCTCTGCCTGCCTCTCTGCCTGCTTGTGATCTCTCTGTCAAATAAATAAATAAAATCTTTAAAAAAAAAAAATCTTGTCCTGTTATGCATAAATAAAATTATTCATTGTATAGGGGTTTTAAATGTAAAAAGGGTAAGTTGAATTTTGTGAACGTATAAATTAAACTTACCGAATTAGCAGATAGTATTTAAGACATTAATAATGTAGCATCTAAAAATATATTAAAACTCTATCAAATAATAAGGTTTCCAGAAATGACAAGAGCAGATATATCACATTTAAGAGTTATAAAAATCACTAACAAAATTTTTTTTAAAAAATCTAAAAAATGGTATAAGAATAACATTTGCAAGATAGATTTATGAATCTGCCCAAGAAAGCCCAAGGAAAAAAGTTAATGATAACTGGTGAATGAAGTGTGAGCATGCTCACACACACACACACAGAGTACACTAAGGCTAAGATAGAGCTTGAATGTAAAATTGGCTTTAACTGCCAACATTAATGATTTCATTTAACTGGAAGAAGCATAAACCTATTTCAGTTTACTACATTAAGGTATTTCATAAAATACCTGGAAGAATTTATAAACTTTTCCAAAAGAGAATGAGAAAGAGAGAGACTAACTTGGGGCCTCAGACTTTATGGATGGATATATATTATATCACCAGTTCCATGGCAAAAATTTAGAAGATGGAGGGATAATCATGAAGTTTATAATCAAGAAAATATTTTTAGCTATAGTTGTTACTCGTGATCACTTAACTTAAAATGCATATCCACAGGGTGCCTGGATGGCTCAGTCAGTTAAGTTTCCAACTCTTGATTTCAGCTCAGGTCATAATTTCATGGGTCCAGATATCGAGCCCCACATGGAGCTCCCTGCTTGGCGGGGAGTGGGCTTGAGATTCTCCCCCTCCATCTGCCTCTCCCCCAGCTTGTGCTCTCACTAAAAATACATAAATCTTTTTAAATAATGCGTATCTACAAACTGAATCATAAATGTTCCCCAATTTTACCATATGTATTTCAAGACTATCAACACTACTTATCATTTATGTCAAAATATACTGGTAAAAGTCATAGGGAAATCTGGAAAGTCAAAGCATGTGCTTAGGGATAACCTGTGTGTGTATGGTTATACTTTAAAATATTAATGTGTCCCGGGGTGCCTGCGTGGCTCAGAGGGTTGTGTCCGACTCTTGGTTTTGGCTCAGGTCGTGATCTCAGCATCGTAAGACTGAACTCCACATTGGCCTTCATGCTCAGCATGGAGTCCACTTAGGACTGTCTCTCCCTTTCCCTTTGCCCCTTCCCCACAATATGTGCACTCTCTCTAATAAACAAATAATTCTTTAAAATTTAACATGTCTGATGTTTCAGAATCTGCCCAATGTGTTGCTACTCATTTAAAGAAAAGGAAGGAAAAACACTTCAGAAGGCTAGGACATCAGTCTTACCAGGGGAGAAAAAAAGATTTCAAAGAGCATTACTTTGTAGGCATCTGAATCTAATTTTTCATACTTAATATAATTATTTAAGAAAGAAGTAATTTGCAAATTGTTCTATTCCATTTTAGAAAATCTTTAGCTTTTTGAAAAACCTCATAGAGGTTAAGAACATACATTCTGGAGATGGATTGTCTAGACTCAAAATCCAGGGTCCTGCTTATTTGCACTGTAACAGGGGTCAACCATTTTTATGTAAAGCCCCAGAGAATAAATAATTTTATGCATTACAGACCACATTACAGTATCTGTTGCTCTTTTTTTCTTAATTAATCCTTTAAAAATATAAAATTATTAGTTCAAGGGCTATACAGAACCAGATTGGTAGTTTGCTGACACCTGATCTATGTAACAGAGATGAGAACACCTATTTCATAGGGTTGTCAAGAGGATTAAATGAATTAATATATGTAAAGTACTTAGAAAGTTCCTGGCACATACTAAAAGCTATAAAAATGCTTATTATTACTACTACATATCTAACCAAATTTTGTTTTCAAAATACCTACTATTCCTCTATGACTTGTATGTAGCATTACTTGGTGACTTCAAATTTGGAGAAAGATTTAATTTGTCCCTCTTGGTTTACTCTAAATCACCAGAAAAAGTTTAGCACTGTACATTGATGAAACTCCAAGTGTGGCATTAAAATTGAGTGATCAGAAGGAAGAGTCAATAATGGTCCTGAGGAAGTCCCTTGTAAATCCCAGCAGGAGCATCCTTAATGAGAAAGATTCACTATGAATATAATAACTAAGTTACCTGAAACATTCAATTAAACACAATAACCAATTTTCTATTATTGTAGTATTTCCCCCAGCCACAGAAATGGACAAACCTATTTTAAATCCATTTAAGTGAACATTTAATCTGTTTTATTTATTTTTAATCTAAAAAGTAAGAGAATAATCAAAAAGCAGAAAATATGCATACTTAAAATGCTATATAGCATTTTAACACACCACAGTTACATGTAGGAGGTATCTGCCTTAAATATTCCCAAGAGTAACTGCATATATTTATGGAAATCACAACGTGTTATGCCAAGAATTCTAGAGAAAAAAAAAATAACTTAAGCAATCAAAAAATAATTCACAGTTTTTAGCAGACAACCTATAAATGAAAAACAAATTTATATAAAACTGAACTCTTTTGTGATTTACAAGGCATGGGCTGAATAGGGCCACATATAAATACTTAAGTACAATACATACAATAAGTTTTGAACATTTTATGAAGTGTTTATATTGAAATATAGAGCTTAATGAATTAAAATTGCAACAGAGTGATATCTAAACATGAAAAAACACTTGCTTGAGTTTTAATGCATTAAATTTTAATTGTATACCATGTTAAATACAAATGCAATAACCTCAGCTTATCCACACTTTTATGGCATCCTGTAGTCCAATGTGCTTCTACATAATCTTCACATGAAAATGTACAGTAGAATAGATGTTAATAGAGCATAAACTAGATTTGGAGATCATGGAAACTTAAGGAAAAAGTACTCTTTTTTTTTCTTCTAAATATTTGCACAGGTATGAGTTATAGCAGTTTGTGCAGTACTCATTAATTTAGTATCAGCGTAGTTTTAAAAAGTATTTTTATTACTCATTTATACCCAGAGTTGAAAATCTGAAGTATTCAGAGACTTAAAAGAAGAAACAATCAAAAACAAAACAAAATAGTAGTCACTTTTCTCTGACTTTCCCACCCCCATCCTGGTCTCCCGCCCCAATGAGAGCCTTTCCAATCCTTTTCGCTATCCTTGTGGCAGATAGCTCTGTATTTCTACTATCTGTAATACTCTTGTCTCTTGAATTCATCTATCTTAAACAGATGGTTTGGTTCCAAATCATAGCACCAGTATTTACTAGTGCCATTTAGCAAGTAACTTTTTCAGGTCTCTGTTTCCTTGCCTATGAAACAAATAATAAAACCTACCTACCACACAATGTTATTGCGACTATTAAATAACGTAAAATCCAGTATGTGTAGTAATATCTAGCTCAAAATATAGTGTTCATATAGTGATAGCTATTATTACTATTGTGAAAGCTATTATATATTGTTCATATGGTGATAGTTATTATTATTGAACTATTACAGTCGTTCTGGTGGATAAGGATTTGAACTCTAATATACTCTTTCTTCATCCTCCTAAACTATTCTCCTATCCTCCAGAACAATAGCATATAAGTATTTTGTTAAACTATATTCAGTGTTTTCATGTCCCTTTTATATTTGAGGCAACTCTAGATTAATGAGAATCTCACTTTGTATCCTCATCAAAACAGAGGCCTGTAAGCTAGCTAAAATGCTGGACTATTCAAATATTCTGGGTAACTTTTAATTTACCAGATTCCAAACCACTGGGATTTTTGGCCTAAGAGAAACTGAATTACAGAACTTTGCTTTTAAAATGATTTCAATTCAAATCTCTATGGCATATACACCAGTACCACCGTTAGGGTAACATACCTAGTATTACTCACTTATCTTTCGTCTCCTTTTTAATTTTTATTTTCTTTAAAGATTTTGTGTATTTGAGAGAAAAGGGCAGGAGCTGAAGGCAGAAGCTCAACTGACTGAGCGACCCAGGTGCCCCTTGCCTCCTGTTTTTATCATTTTCACAGCTAAGGACATGGTAAGATGTTTTACACATTGTATATTACAGTTGTTCTTTATATGTAGTGTTTTTCAGGATTGACACCCTTGCTCTATATACTGTTTTCTAGTGGTTAATTTAAAATGAAATCTTCTACTCAGAGGTCACAATTATAAGTGGTCTCTAAGTTTTGAGAACTCACACAATTTGCATAGAGTAGATGCCTGAGATGTTTCTAAAATTCTAAACAACATTTTTGTAGCAGTTTATGCTCAGGAAAAACACAGTTTGGTGAGTCACAATTTATTTTAAGAAAGTGCTATAGTAATTGGAGGCATTTTAAAGAAACAAGAAGTCAGTTAAAGTAATTATTTAAGAATCATTAGTTCATTTGCATACCTCTTAATCTTAAAATCCAAGATATTCATGTAGCCAAAAATAAAATGATACTATGTATGAAAAGGTTCTCAAAATCACCCTCATTAATTTTAAGTTCACTATGGATAAAGAATATGTCTTGATTTATTTACCTTGTATCACCATTGCCTGGGACAATGTCGGACTAGTGTAGGTACAGAGAGGTTCAATACACATTCATTGGATAAATAAATTCAGCTTAATTTGGTCTCAGAAAACTTACAAATGCTTGACAGTAAAACACTAAATATTACGTTAACACAGCATTATTCTTTTCAGCGTAAACAAAGTACACTAGTTTGTACATTGTATATTATGTTTATTGATAGTGACATATAGTAAAAATTTTATGTATATATTAATTACCCATGGTCCCTTATAAATATTTAAAGTTCTTTTTCCAAACACAATCATACTGCAAAGTCATACCATAAACTAAACTTTGTAAGACAATTTTAAAAAGATGCATTAAAGATATTATAAATCATGATGAGATATTGAGATGGCTTATAACTCTGAGTTTAAACATTCTAATTACAATCAAATGTAGACTTTTACTAAGAAGTTGATAATTCTGCAGAAGGAGCCCTTCTGAGGAATGATTTTGTTTTAATATAATTAATGGTCAGATTAGCATACCTGAAGTCCTATGTTCTTAAAAAGTTCATTCAGAGTCCATAAATGCAAGCAGAAGATTATGAAGTATTCCTAGATGCACAAACATCTTTTAAAAAAATTTGAAGTATTCAGTGTGCCTTAAGATACATTCCTTGAATTGAAAACTGTTGAGGTTTCCAAATACTATCTTTTCATGTCTTCACAGCCTGGATCTGATCTGATAACAAAAACCAAACAAAAAATTATCAGTCTCCACAGGCAAAATCCATTTTCTAAAGTAATCCAAGAAAAATCTATAAAAACACTGTGGAAGCCTCTGCACACAACTGTTTGTTTAAAGCACAAACACACTGAAGCTTTTGATTCTGTCATTGTACATGCACACAGGAGCCAACTAGTTCTCCAAGGCTTTATGAAAAATAGTGATCCCTTGGCTCATCTCCGCTTTCTTTCTTAGGCAACCATTTCTAACCCCTTTTAGGAGATTTACCTCTGTATCTCTAAGTAATATACTTTTTTTTAAATTACTTTTTGAAATATCAGTTCCTTCAATGTAGTATGAGGCTTCAGTTCTCGCTCTGTGCTGCCCTGCAACACTCGTTATGCATCCAGCACTCCCATTCTTCTACCACAGTAATCTAGTCATATGATGACTCTACATGCTACTCACAACTGAGACAGGTTGTATCTCCCTCCCTGTTATTCTTCCTTTCTTCTACATTTTGTTTTCCCTGTTTTAATAAGTGTGCCTTATTCTCTAGTCCTGTCTTAGTTTTTCCAGATACTTAACACTAATTCATTGCCACTATTCTCACGCTGTTTAAACCTTTATTACTATGAAGCACATTACATAGCCTATGAATTCCACTTTCTTGAAGAACTCTCCATTAGTCTTCCAAAACTCTCTAATGTGGACCAGTTGTTCTCTATGTTTGCCCAGCCATCTTCATAAGGGATCTCTCATTACCATTCTAGGATTTCATTATCTTTCCTGATCATCCTGAGGATCCTTCTTCACACAGGCTCTTATATTGGTTTTCCTGTTTCGTGGTCTCTTATTTTCTCCTCTTTATTCCCTTGTCTTTTAAGAGTATACCTCTCAATGGCTACTTTAGTAAAAGATATAGAAAGTACATTCTTGAGACTGTGCATGGCTGAAGATGTTTTAATTCTACAGTCACAATAAACTGACACTGCCTGAGCATATAATTCCATTATTTTCTCCTTGGACTTTTCCAGGCATGGCCCAATTATCTTACAGCTTCCAAATGTTGATTAGAAATCTGGTGCTATTTCTGTTTCCTTATCCTTAACATTAAACTTATTTTCTTCCCAGGAAGCCTGTAGAATCTTCCATTGTCTTCAGTGTTGAAATTAAATAATGGTGAGCCCTGGTGTGGGAATGTTTTCATTCACTGCACTGCACTCTCAAGAGGCCTTTCAACTAAATTCATCATTCAGTTCTGGAAAATACTGTTTGGTGATTTACTTGTAAATTTTTTCCCTTCTATTTTCTCTTCGCTCATTCTAAAATTTGTATTATTTGGATATTGGGCCCCCTCTTTCTTTTCTTTCCCATTTTACCTTTTTGCTCTACTTTCTTGAGAGAATGCCTTTATTTTATCTTCTTTTTATTGAATTTTCAATTTCTTCTGTTCTATTATTTTCCAAGAACATTTCCCCCCCCCCCCATTGGTCCTTTTCAAGTAGTATCCCTGGTCATATTCATGAAAGTAATACCTTTTCTTATCTCTTTGAGGATACCCCAGTAGTTTTTTTTTTTTTTAATTCTCCCTAAATAAATACTACTTCCTCTAACCCACTTTTTTGGTTTGTTGATGTTCCATTATTTTTAATGTTTTGGTCCTCAAATGCCTGATGATCCTTTGCCATCTTCTCGTAAGTATGAATGAACACTATAAAGCTGACCAAAATTTCAATATGTATGTGTGAGGCCTGTAAAATATGATCTTTATTCTAGTGTAGCTAGCTACACCATTTTCTTGGGAATCTTTGTTGTTAATAGCTTTAGATCTTTTCTCTCGCTGATCTGATTCCTCAAAGATGACTTTCTATATCCTGCCTACTGACAGTGTCTTCTTGGAGACGTAGGAGAAGGCGGAAGATGATTACACTATGTGGTATAAAAACTTTCAGTTATTCCTCATTTTCAGATCAGCACTGCCACACACAGTTGTGCTTGGTATTCCCAAGTCTGGAGATACTCTTACTCTCTCCAAGAATGAACCTCCAATCTTTCTGGGGGGCAAGAAAGCGTAACTCTCTTTTCAGCCCCACCTCATCCTTCTTTCCACCTTTCACCAATATCTGAGCTTTTGAGGGGATCTGCAATGTAAAGTAAGATGCTTTCCAGCTTTCCTCAGTGCTAGTTTAGAATTCATCTTTCTCAGGTCTCTTAAATCATTCAACATTCATCAGACATCCAGCTTCTAAAATTTGGTTGCCATTTTTGTCACTTTTTTTTTTTTTTTTGTCCCTGTAGGGTAATGTCTTTAAACCAAAGGCCCCCCTATTAAGTTAGATTTGAGAAGAGGATGAAACTAAGTGTGTGTTCAGTCCTCAGTCCTTTATCTTCGATTGGAACACCCATATGCATATAAAAGTCTTATTTTAAAATCTTGGAAGCATTAACTTTTCCCAGATAAAGTGATAAAGTGATAAAATGAGTATGTTTCATTAGTCATGTGGAAATATTTCTTTTTATAAATATCTCATTTGAGGGGTGCCTGGGTGGCTCAGTGGGTTAAAGCCTCTGCCTTCAGCTTAGGTCATGGTCCCAGGGTCCTGGGATGGAGCCCTGCATTGGGCTCTCTGCTCGGCAGGGAGCCTGCTCCTCCTCTCCCCCCGCTTCTCTGCCTACTTGTGATCTCTGTCAAATAAATAAATAAAATCTTTAAAAAAAAATCTCATTTGAAAGTTTCAGAGCTAGAAAACAACTTATGCCTCTGCAATGGTTTCTGTATATTCTTTGATGGTTTTAAAAAAACATTTCATAGTCTACTCAGGGGTTCTTGTCTTTGGGTTATAAGATATAGGTAATTATTGAAAATCCTTTCAAAAGAGAAGGGGATCATGGCACAATATATGTCATTTAATATATTACTCAAAAATTTTCAACATTATAATAGTAAGATTAAGTTGGTCCAAAATGAACCAGAGACTTTCTTGTTTATCATACTAGGAAATTTCACAATTCTGGAAGCAAAATGAAGAGATATAAATTCAGAATATCTTTCATAGTTAAATTTACATAAGAATTGTTGGCTAATAAGTTAAGTTATAGGCATGGATGGATTAGTCTTCTATATTTACTTCTACCTAATTTGCAAAATGGGCTTTTACCTTCTTTTTAAATCCAGAGAGACAGTCTGGAGAGTCAAAATGTAAACTATTTACTATTACATAGGAAAGATGAACAAAGGATCTCCTATTCAAAACCAAGCTGATAACATCTATGTACTAAGTTTCCTCCTCTCCTAAATAGAGAGCACTTAGGTAGAAGGTAAATTTAACATTTACTGGGTTTTTTCTTATCTAAGACACTTTAACACAGTGTTTTATTTAATCCATACAATTTCTGACATTTTATTTTTTATTTGTATAGGTGATGAAAATATCTTCAAAAGAAAATAACAGATAATTGTTAATAGTAAGTAGTAGAATAAATCTGCTAGACTCAAAAGCTCAAATATTTTTTATTGCTATTCTATATTCCCTACATAAGATAGGGAAACTGTTCACAGAAAACTGCTCTAAAAGTTAAACAAAATAATATGGTAACACAAAGGCTCAAAAATATTTCCAATAGTGTATCCTCCTTACAAAAGGGGAAGATACAAAGATAATAAATCAGACAAATCAAAGACACAAAAATTAGTAATAAGACCACAGTGGAACTGTGATGTTAGATCGTTACTGACACCTAGTGGCCTTGTTATTACAGACAAAATATACCAAAATATACCAACAAGAAAAGGAAGCGAGAACTACAATTTATCAACCTATTTTCAGTAGGTACTATGTTTTTATGAGCAACAGTAGGGTTTTATCCATGCAATATCTTCACTGTGAGCAATAAGGACTGGGAAAATAAATCAAGGCTGAACATATGCTTCTGATCTGTAGAACATTGCTCCTTAACCTGTTTTATGGAGAATAAGTCCCATAAAAGCATCAGAAGTGTAAACCAGTTCTTTATCACCATTAAAGGTTCTCAATTATGTTTTACTTAATTGTAATGTATAACTATAACATTCTTTATAGTTTAGTGGTAAATGTCATGATGTCTACACAAAAACAACAAAAAACCAGTCTGTGCAGTTTATGAAAATACCATATTTTACTAATAACACATAAAAATATTTATCAGATATAAAAATATTTATCAGATATACATTTAATACTCTGAACCAAAGAGATAGTATGTCTCTTTATGCATGGTCAAGCAGACTATTCTTAGATTCACCAGGATATGCATAAGAGAACACAAAATTACATATATAACTAGCATTAAAAGGTCAGTGTAGAAGAAATTAAACTTATAGCCACAAGACTACAAGTAGAATTAATAATATTTTGTTATTCATCCTTGTTCAGGGCTGGGAGAGTCTTGATAGGAATGATCCCCAGTTCTGCTCACAAATGGACATTTTTCAGCCTGACTTGGGTCCTGTAATAAAAGAACCTACAGAACTTGGTTTCATTCACATCTATGGCTCTGTGTGGGTCACTGTTTTAATCCATTCCTATGGTTATAAACAATGTAATCTTAGAGGAAATGATACATCTTAATTTATTCCTTGATAATGGTAAAACTGTACCAATCAATGATAGCTATTTTAGATGAATAACAAAACTGCAATATACAAAACATCAGTAGAACACTGGTATCTACAATACTAAATGAGTGTTAAAATTTGTGTAAACATGTATAAATGGAGCTATACGAAGAGTTCAGCATGATTTCTAGGAGATATATGCCATTCAAACTTATTTTTAATTACTGACAGTTAAGGCCTGGAATTTGTCACAAACTTCAAATGTGCTTCTATCACTAGATCTGAGAGAAATTTGCTGCCATAAATTGAAATTTTCTAGAGTTGCCATGTATATTGATTGTAAAGATGCAAATTATTTATTTAAATAAACCCTTCAGAAAAATGTAATAGAAGTAAATGTAGCCTGTTACAAGGAGAACAGATTCTTTTTTTTTTTTTTTTTTTTTTTTTTAAAGATTTTATTTATTTATTTGACAGACAGAGATCACAAGCAGGCAGAGAGGCAGGCAGAGAGAGAGGAGGAGGCAGGCTCCCCGCTGAGCAGAGAGCCCGATGCGGGGCTCGATCCCAGGACCCTGAGATCATGACCTGAGCTGAAGGCAGCGGCTTAACCCACTGAGCCACCCAGGCGCCCCAAGGAGAACAGATTCTTACCAAACTTATGTAATTGACTATGATTGTCATGGAAGAAAGAATATTTACTGGGACCTTTTGAATTCTGGAGGATTCAGGTAGATAAAAAAGTTAAATGCTTTAATTTGTTTTATTATTATTTCTGTTCTTGTAACAGGACACCATTGGAAACATTGGTTATTTTATCAAGGCTTTGACTGGGATATCATATTTGAGAGAGACAGACCTAGACTCAGATATGACCAAACGGCTTTGAGGAACTAAGGCTGACTTCATGAAACACGGCGCATAAAGCCCCTTGGAAATACCTTGCTTACAGAGTTCCCAGCAACGTCACCAGGTGAGTAAAGAATGTCACTTCCTGGCAGGTACAGGAACCTCAAGCTATATTGGGCACCTTGTGAAGAGGAATACGCCTAAATCTACAGGAATTGCAGGCATGTCCGATGGTAAGTACTTGACTTGGCTTCTGGCCAGGAGAGGCTACTTATGTAAATAATTAGGCCAAGTTTATTAAAATTGGACTTGTTTTGTAGACAAATTCATCTTGATTTGGCTATATCTGGAAATGAGGGTTATTTTAGAGAGAAAAATTATGTTTCAATAACCCACCTTTGCAGATGTTAAATCCTAGTTTTGATTGTCCTTAAATGTTGTTTGCTTAAGCTAGACAACTTGAGATAAATTGCAGAGATATAGTTCTTATATATTTACTATACAGTACCTCATATAGCTCACAGCATAACATAATCTTATTGCTTGTTATGCTGTGGGGATAATATGAGGACCCCCATGTGCATATTATTATTTAAACAACTGGAAAATGGGATTAATCCCCAAACAATTGTATAACTCAAATATCACCTTGACCAATTTCCTTATTTAAGGAAAATGAAAAATTTTTTTAAAAGCTGGAGCCTATCTCACTCCATGAGGTTAATTATAGACTTGTGGAGATAATGGATGACCCCACTTTCTCTATGATTGGACTGGATGATGCACTTGGGGATGCACTTGCCCTAATCTCTTGAGACAAGTCTCTCACTTGACAGTGATTCCTTGTAATTAGGATACTGTTAAGACTGGACCTCAAACAAAGAGGGCTTTTTTTTTTTTTTTTTTAAAGATTTATTTATTTGACAGACAGAGACCACAAGTAGGCAGGGAGGCAGGCAGAGAGAGAGGAGGAAGCAGGCTCCCTGCCGAGCAGAGAGCCCTATGCGGGGCTCGATCCCAGGACTCCGGGATCATGACCTGAGCCGAAGGCAGAGGCTTTAACCCACTGAGCCACCCAGGCACCCCCAAAGAGGGCTTCTTAATGGTTTTATTCCTTAGTCATATTTGTCCTAGGAACTACCTCTATTAATGTAAAATTACAAGTAGAGACTTTAGCCAAGCATACAGTGACCATCTTTAAGCCTGACACGGCAGTCACCAACAAATTCAAAAGGTGGCCCTCTAAAATTGAATAGGCCTTGGTATCTTAACACCAGTTAAAGGATGCCCAAAATTATATAACTGGGTCCTAACGAAACCCACTGACTATCTATCTCTAACATGTGTCCCAGGCTGGATAGGTTGCCTTACTTTGGTTTTCGCCTGAATGCATAGACACATTATTAAAATCATTACCAACCCAGCCAATCTTCCAAATTTAAAACAACAGTGGACATGTTTTGTGTTACATTGGTATGACCACCTAGCATCCATCTTTGTTCCCTCTTTGAGACTGGAGGATGTTTTGCACATGGAAGCTCTTAATTCGTACATGGTCAAAGCCCTAAAGGACACTCACAATAGCATTTCTCCATTAAATACTGAAGTAATACATATGCATGAACCAGTTTTACAATATAGAATGGCATTAGATGTTTTCACTGTTACATTAAGGTGAAACTTGTGCTAAAATAAAAACAAAATGCTGTTTATACATTCCAGATTACCACAAAAATATATCTCGGTTTCTAAATGAATGGATACTCAAATTAGCACTTTAAATGATCTCTCTTTCCTTTAGTGATTGCTTTACACTCCTGGACTGGAGGAAAATTATCAAAGGTCAACTATCAAAGCTCTTTTATTCTGATTTCTCTTTCTCATTACAATATTAATCTTACTCTGTTATTTCTGGTGTCTCCCTGCCTAGTGTCAACACTCCATCACTGCCTAACTTCCAGCTGACAGATGATCCTTTCTACTCATGGAGGTTCATATATGTTGAACACGTTGGATTCAGCTGCCTCCCCCTTTTGTATCTCCTCTATATGCTCCATAACTGACCAATACTAACCCATAGGTAGGGACATTTCCATGCCCCATTCAGCAGGAAGAAGTTACAGAAGATGAGACCTTCCATCTTCAACATATTTAAGGGTCAAAACTGTTCATGGGGAAAATGATGAGAGAGCAGAGGGCTTGCTGAGGACAAAGCATAAGCAGACACTCCGCCATCTGCCCTCCACCACACATCTGCCCTCCACCACACTCCTCGGAAGACTATGTGACACATTCTTCCAGGAAGCTCCTAACTATCTTAATGTTAATGCCTTGCTAGAGGGAAAAACAACCTTAACTTGACAAAGGCAAGGCCTCCCTTACCTTGTAGGTCCTCATTAGCATATGAAAGTTCTTTCTAAATCCTCCCATTTCCCCTATGTCTCCCAACCTCACAGTATATAATCAATTGCTCCTCACAACCCCAGTACAGGTCTTTCTGCCCATTGTCCTGTCCTGCCCATTGGTCCTGTCCTGTACAAAAAAACAAGTAACAAAACAAACAACAACAAAAAAGAAATACATGTAGTAAGGTACTGGATACTTACTCGATTGTTTTTTCTGACAGCAGAAATAAATGGAAATGAGAAAGGCAATGATATAGTAAAAATGAAATGTAAAAAGGGAAAGAAAAACATGAATAGAATGGAAATAAAGGCTGAAGATGCACGGTATTTTGTGATGTACCTTGAAGCCAGTCTACACCTTCTTGCAATCCTTCTCCTTTTATGGCATCACTAGCACTGAAATAAAATCCACAAGAAACATATCCATTTCTTTATTTCATAGAACCATAAGAATAAATAATTACAATTTTGCTATATGGCAAATTAATATAGTCTAATAACATATATTTGAGCAAAACTTGGTAAGCGCTGAAACTGAATATAAACAGGAAAAAGTCTGAGTGCTCAGAAAAGACATGAGAAATTTATTCATGATTTATAATAGACATTTGGAAAAGCGTTATCACTAAAAAGTTATTATTCTACTTTGCCCAGCTCCAGTGGCTCAATAACATTTATCCATTAGAAATGCTTGACTTAGGTTGTAATTTAGGCACCTGACGGAGTGACTTTATTTGAAATGGAATTTTATAAGGTATAAACCTGTAATTATAACTTTGGTAAACTGGTAGAATAAAAAAAAAAAAATCTCAGATTTCAATCATATCCTTATATCTAATGGCTTCAGGAACCTGGACAGGCTATTTAACTCTCTGCCTTTATTTGTAGCATCTATAAAATGGTGTTAAATAAACTAAAATAATAAAATGCAGAGGATTTTTATACTATCAGATGTTTTTCAAAGACATAGACTGATAGCAATTAGTATAAATAATTGGGATTTTCTCAATGATTAGGGCTCCTTTATAAAGTGTGTAGCTAGTTACCTGAATAATTAATTTGATTCTAATCAAAACAGAAATTACTTCCAAGGAATTAGATCATGAATATGACTTATCATAGAATTATTTTAAAATAGAAAGACAGAAATCAACAGCATGTGATATATAATTATTCAAAGTAAATTATAGATTATCCATATCAGCAGCAAAACATTAGTAACTGAAATGCTTAAATCAAGAAAGATCAATGTATTGATTTTTATCACACACTTATAGTCCCAAACAAGATTAAGGTCTCAACCAAACAAGTAATAAAATGGAAAAACTTGTCCCCTTTACTGGTGGCATTAGTGCCATACTAAAAACCCTGCATCTTTTCCTAATAATTCCCAAATGTTTGAATTCTACCTTTCTTTTTGAATACATCATCAGACCTGTAACTAGAATAAATGCCAAAGTCTTTACCATGTCCTACTAGGACATGTGTGATATGGTCTATGGCTATTTCTCAATGGCTTCATCTCCTACAACTTCCCCCTAGATCTCCCTCCTCAAGCCAGCCTGCACTCCTTGCTATTCCTGGAACATACAAGGTACATTCTCATCTGCGAGCATTTTCACTTGGCTGGCCTCCTGTCTGGCAAGCTACTCCTCCAAACTTTTGCATGAATTTCTCCCTGACTTCTGTTAGCTTTCACAGAGGGAGCACCTCTCATTCTTTCTCTTATTGTCCCACTTTACTTTTCATCATCCTTCCAGCTGATATTTTATGTATCTATTTATCTGATTTGTTATCTGTTGCCCTCATAGGAGAGTAAATAAGCAAATATGTATATACATATTGTGCCAGGGACTTTGTCAAAGAACTTTAAAAAAAAAAAAATTAACAAAATCAGAGCCTGAAAATCAGAGTTGGCTATATATTTAGTACAATGATTAAAAATAAAGCACAAAAATTTTCATTTTTCTATAATCTTTATTGTCCAGTAAATTTACTTGCACTTAAGGCAAGAGAGATAGAATATTTTATATGGGGGGGCGCCTGGGTGGCTCAGTAGGTTGAAGCCTCTGCCTTCGGCTCAGGTCATGATCCCAGCGTCCTGGGATCAAGCCCCGAATTGGGCTCTCTGCTCAGCAAGGAGCCTGCTTCCTCCTCTCTCTCTGCCTACTTGTGATCTCTGTCTATCAAATAAATAAAAATCTTAAAAAAAAAAAAAAAAGAATATTTTATATGCACACTGAGTGTTACCTTTATTTCTAAAACTGGAAAAGAAAAATAAGTGTATTTTCAATTTTATACATGCTTTAAAAAATAACAAAAAAATTAAAAAACAAGCTTAACAAATGAAACACTAGAAATTAGTGAGATACTATTTGAATAGTCAAAATTATAAACAACTTCCAAAGAAATACTTGGCATTCTTCTATAAGTTATACAGAAAACAGAGGAACCTGGCAATGTAATACTACACAATCTTATAGCATGAGGACATTACCTTTTCTCTCACTGAGAAGTATTTAGATGTCACAACTGAATAAAGAAATCTGTTAAAATTCAACTGCTGATGATTTTAAGTAGAAAGAGATTTTTTTTCACTTGTAAAATTAATTTCTATTTCAAAATTAAAAATAGGACTGCATCTTTTACTATAAATTAGACCTATAGTTTTTAATGTTGTACTTTCTATCAAAACAATGCTTAATACAATGCAAAAATAAAAACTATTCTACTTTGAGCATTACTAATTTAGGTATGATTTAGAGAGAAATACAAAGGTTCACCTTAAGATACTTCTCTACCTAAAATCCCTCCTTTCTTTACCAGAACCACAATTCTAAATCAAAAGACATTTCATAAAATTGACTCTTCTGATTCCAAAGTAAGGAGGATTTTACTCAAGATATGTACATAGGGTTTCACTCCTGGGTAAAGGAGCTGGTGGCCCTGAGTACTGAGGCTTTTCAAGGGCTTTCTCAGGCTCTCATCTAAGTTCTTTTTTGAGCTCTAGAATCTCCGTTCTGTATTCTGTTTCTCTTCTAGGGGTAGTATACTTTTCTACCTCTTTGTTAGGGCTTTCTCCATAAATACCTTCTTTTAAAAAAGGGAAAACTGGCAAGAGAAGGACATCTTGTAGCAGAGGGAGTAGGTGGGTGGACAGAAAGAAGCTTAAATTAATATAAGGTAGGCACTAAAATACTATCTAATATATAACTTTTGGTTATCCTTATTGGAATATTTTGGCAAAAAGGCACACCAGAGTTAAATATATCCATAAGACACTGCTTTCCAAATAAACAATGTATAATAATTTCAGATACTAAACACTGAAGAGTTCAACTGTATTAGTATATCCAAATAAAATTTAATATTTACATTTCTATATACTCATATACACCAGTATTTGTTGTGTACATGATAAGTACCTGGTACTATTATCATACTAGAGGTTACGGAGTAAACGAAACTGATAAAATGCCAGCTCTCATGGTACTAATGCAGTAGTATAGGAAGACAGCCTATAAAACATGCAAAACCCAAAGAGGACATGGCAAGAGAAATATAAAGCAAAGCATATAAAAAAAACAAGAGACGGGGTAAGATATAATAACATTTTGGAGGGTTATGAGGAGAGGTTTCCTGAAGGAAGTACAACAGCAAGCCAGGAAAATCACTTTGGAGACTGATTCATACAAAGGGACTAACAAGTACAAAAGTCCTGAGATGGGATTGTGGTTGGTGGATTCAATGTACAGAAGGAAATTAGTGGGCTTGAAACTGGGTAAGTGGGCTAGATCTTTTAAAGAGTTGTTTCTATTTCAAATCCTCAGAAAGATTTGAAAAGTTTTTTTTGTTTTGTTTTTTTAAGATTTATTTATTTAAGTAATCTCTACACCCACTGTGGGGCTGAAACTCACAACTCTGAGGTCCATAGCTGCATGCTCTGACTGAGCCAGCCAAGCAGGCCAAAATTGGAAAAAATTTTAACAGTAATATATTCATGAATACCTGCACTGCTACAAGTCTATACGACTAAATCCTTGGCTTACATCCTATCATGTTAGGTGTCTTACACATAAGCTTAGCAAAGAACTGAAGCTCAGAGATTTTTTTTAGAATGCTATAATGAAGAGTAAGTATAAAACATTACCAAATATGCCATGGTTTATCTTTGATGTTCTCTAAACACAGCAGCTGAGACACTTTTACAGACGTCACTGCATCTCTAAGATCCATTTTGTTTGCAAAAAATAAGATTGGTATTCGGCGGTGCTTAATATCTAAAAGACAAAATAAGATTATCATTACTCTTTCAGCTTTTTGGTCATTTCCCCAAATTCTTCAAATTAAAATTCACTAAAACTATTTTCCAACCACTTCTTTCTGTACCACATATACATAAACATTTAAAAACATATACTGTCAAGAATGTATCTGAATGACAGGAGAATTAACAAAATACTTTTTCTTAAGACTATCCACCCTCTGGGATGCCTGGGTGGCTCAGTCCGTTAAGTGTCTGACTTTGGCTCAGGTCATGATCCCAGGGTCCTGGGACAAAGTCCCTCATCTGGCTCCCTGTTCAGGGAGCCTACTGCTTCCTCTGCTTGTTTCACTCTCTCTCTGACAAAAAAAAAAAAAAAAAAAAAAAAGACACCTGCCCTCTGGTTGGAGCTTTAAAACAAAGATGAGTGAGGTGGGAGTTGGGGCTCAGTAAGCAGTTACTGAGAAGTACCTACACAGGGATCAAATATTTTGTTTTGTTTTTACTGTCAACAGAAAGGAGTCAAACTTCAAATGAAAGTAGAAGGGAGATAAACTAGATCTTGATTTTAGATTTAGGCACTCGTTAGAAGTGACAAACTAGATATTTTAACAAGATATTTTACTTTGTTACAGCTCTGGAAACATTTTTCATTGTTTTGAATAGTTAATTCATTTAAATAGTTCAAAATTCAGATGACACAAAATGGTATACAGTAAAAGAATTTCCCTCCTACCTGTCCCAGGCCATCCACTAGTCCTCTCTAGAAGAGTTAACGTATATCACCTATTACCTGGCATCTTTTTAGAAATATTTTCAAACACTTATTACATATTATTCTTTATACAAATAGTAGCAGACTATTCAGTTTGATATCTCCTGCTTTTCACTTACTTTCATATTTTGGAGCTTGTCCCATACCAGTACATAAAGAGCAGTTTCTTCACTATTTTAACAGTTGTAGAATATTCTGCCTGTTAGTACTATGTACCATAATTTGTTTAATCAGTACCCAGTGAGATATATTTGTATTGTTGCCAATATTTAAAACTATAAACAATGCTGAAATGAATAAAAGTGTACACCTCTAATTTTGTACATGGGCAGTATGTCTGGTAGGATAAATTTGGGAAGTAGAGTTGATAGTTAAAGGATAGATAGTTAAAGGATATGTAAATTGCTATTTTGATAGTGATTACTGCGAGGCCTTCCTTTAAAAATGTATCAATTTATATATCAACAATAATGTGTAAGAATGAACATTTCCAGTACCCTTGCCAAGAGTATTATCAAACCTATTGATCTTTTTATGATGGTGGATAGGTAAAAAGTATTATCAGAATATGTTTACTTTGTTTTAAGAAAGGTCAAGAATTTTTGTATATATTCAAAAGATGGTTCTATTTCTTTTTTCAATGAACTATGTTACCCAAACCTTTTCCCATTTTTTTTTAAGATTTTATTTTTTTGAGAGAGAACGAGAAGGAAAGCATGAATGGGGCTGAGGGGCAGAGAGAGAGGAGAAGCAGACTTCCCTCTGAGCTGGGAGCCTGACTCCAGGATCCATCCAAGGACCCTGGGATCAGGACCTAAGCTGAAGGCAGACTCTTAACTGACTGAACCACTCAGGCGCCACTCCCCATTTTTCAATTAAGTTTCTCTCTCTCTCTCTCTTTTTAAAATTTTATTTATTTGACAGGAAAAGGAAACACAAGCAGGGGAAGTGACAAGCACAGGGAGAGGGAGAAGCAGGCTCCCCACTGAGCAGAGAGCCTGATGCAGGACCCTGGGATCCTGAACAGAGCCAAGGGCAGCCGCTTAACTGACAGAGCCACCCAGGCACCCTAAGTTTTTATTTTCTTAAGATTTGTAGGAACACCATAAGTAGTAAGGAAAAAAGTCCTGTAGCTCTGATATGAACTGCAAATAACCCCCTTGCTTGTCATTTGCCTTTGACTGCTCATGGTTTGTTTTGTAATTAAAAACTTTTTATGTAGTCAAATTCATCAATCTTTTAGGATTCTGGGTTCTGTGTTATAGCTGGAAAGGTCTGCTCTTGTCCCAGAATTATTTTAAACTTCTCCCATAGTTTCTTCTATTGCTGCATTGGTGTGATTTTTACATTTAAATATTTAGTCCAGCTAGAATTTACCCTGAAACAGAGAATGTCAGAATGTGTAAAAAAGCCACACATAATCATACAATGTTTACAAGAAACACACTTTAAACATAGGGACACAAACAGGCCAAGAGGAACTGGAAGGAAAAACATGCATACATTTAAATGTAAGAAAGCTCGCATGGCTACATTATTATTAGACAAAGTAGTGTTCAAGATGAAGGGAAAAGACACTTGTTGTTGCTCTCTGTGCAGTTTATTATATGTCAGTGCTTTTTTAAAGTTTTTATTTAAATTCCAGCTAGTTAACATGCAGTGTAATATTAGTTTCAGGTATACAATCTAGTGATTCAACACTTCCATACATTACCACCTGCTCATACAACACCCCCTGCTTATCACAAGTGCCCTCCTCAATCCCCATCACCTGTTTAGCCCATCTCCCACCCATCTCCCCCCTGGTAACCATCAGTTTCTTCTTTAAAGTTAAGAATCTGTTTCTTGGTTTGCCTCTTTCTCTTTGAAAAAGATAGGCATTTAAAAATTATGAAAGTGTCACTCACTCAAAATGACAAAACAATTTTAACTGTACATGCACCTAATAAATGAATACTATTAACCGACATTTATAGACCTTTCATCCAACAACAGCAAAATACGTATTTTACTTAACTGCAGATGGACCATTCACCAAGCCAGACCAATATAAATATTGACCCAATATTTCTAAGGATGAAATCTTACAGAATATGTTATTCCATCAAATGGAATTAAGTTAGAAATTTGTAACAAAAAGAAACCTAGAAAATTCCCATATATGGAAATTAAATAATACACTACTAAAAAATCTAAGGATCAAAAAAGAACTCACAAGGTAAGTTAGAAAATACTTCACACTAAATAAAAAAGGAAACAAACATCGAAATCTGTGACATGTAACTAAATCCTTAGAGAATATGTACTGCTTTAAATGCTCATATTAGAAAAGGTGTAAAATCAATGATTTCTACTTCTATCTGAAAAAGGTAATAGACAATGAGATACAATATATATATAGAAAATTCATAATAAAACAAAGAAGAGAAATTAACAAAATTTTTTAAAAACAACCAACAGAAGAAATTAACAAAGCCAGAGTTCATAAAAAGTTAATAAAACCAATAAACTCTTTAAAAAATTGAACAAGAAAAAATGGGGGAAACAAATGATCAATATCAGAAATGAAGGAACATACACAATCTTACAGACATTAAAAGGACAGTAAGAGGATAATATAAACAGTTTTATGTCAGTAAACTTGATAACATAAATTAATTTTAAAATCTGGTCAAAAATTACCGAAAGTGACCTAAGGAGAAATATAAAACTTTAATAGCCTTTTATCATTTAATGAAATTTAACTCCTAATTCACAGTCCCTCTTACTCCCTTATATTCCCCGCCAACACACACAAAATCCCAACCCTCATGGCTTCTATCAAACATTTAAGGATGAAATAATACCAATTCTACCCAATCCAAAAAATAAAGTAAAAAGAGAAAGAATAAATATTTTCCAACTCATTTTATAAGGCCTCTATCACCCTGATGACTAAAGCATTTTAAGAAAGTTATAAACCAAAAACCTTACGAGCACAAAACCAAAAATTTTTAATAAAATGTTAGCAAATCCAACTCAGTGATATATTGAAAGGTTAATATTCAAATGAGGTTTAACCCAGGAATGTACGTTTGGTTTAACAGATGTGAATACAGTGTAGTATTATTGCTGTAACAGATGTAGAAAAAGTATTTGGTAAATTATAACACTAGGCTATAATGGAACCTTTTGAAAAATTAGGAATAACAGAAAATTTCCTTGACCCAATAAAGATATAAGCAAACCCTAGTGAGCATCATAATTAGTGGTAAAATAAATGTAAAGAATGGGAATAAGGCATAAAAACAACCTAAGTGTCTATCAATGGATGAATGATAATGATAGTGAACAACATGGGCTTGAATTATGCAAGTCCACTTACACGTGCCTTTTTTTTCAGTAAATATATTGAAGAATATTTTGGAGATTTGCAACAATTTGAAAAATCCTGTAAACAAATCATGAAGCTTAGAAACCCTGAAGGAAAATTAAGAAAAGGTTGGGCATCTCATGAAGGCATAAAATATATATAGAAATGAGATGATTTTACCACTTACTACCATAAAAGATAAACAAATCTATTATAAAAAGTTAAAATTTATCAATACTTATGCACACATAAACCAAATATGGTAGCATTCACAGTTAAGAAAAATGCAAATGAGTGAAAGATGCAGTATTAAATCATAACTGCATAAAATTATAGTAATACTGTACCACTGTTAATAATTTCATAGCCATCTCCTGTAGCTACTATTGCAGTGAGCTCAAGTGTTGGAAGTATCTGCTTAAAATGCTATGTGATACTAATCATCCTACATAAACAGTTCCTTTCTCCAGGAAATCGTGTATCACAAAAAGCTATCTCTCACAGTTCTCACATATTTTTTTATTTTGTGCAATACTGTAAATCCTGAATTAAACCACGGGACCCATACAAAGTACCACCAGTCATGCTGGAAGTGCTCCCAAGAACCACAGAAAAGTCATGTCATTCGAGGAAAAAATTGATACTTGATAGTATCACAGATTGAGATCTGCAGTTATGGATGTCTACCATTTCAAGATAAATGAATGCAGTATAAGGGCCATTGTGAAAAAATAAAAGGCAATTCATGAAGCCATTGTTGTAGTTACACCAGCAGGCAAGAAAATCTTGTACTTTTCATGAAATACCTTTTTACCTCATACTGAAAATACAGCTTCTGTGTGGGTGCAGAATTGCTATAAAAAGGCATTCCTATAGTATAGATTCTAAC